CGCCCACAGACAACCCGCCAACCTTAAGCATATTTTCTCCTCCCTTGGTGTTCACACCTCAACTGCTAGCAGAGCACCTCACCCTCCCTGATTGAGCTAACCTCGTTATCTTCATACTGATTTATACCTGCCTCTGGAAATTTCCATTACTTGCATCTGAAGAAGGTACGAGCACCAAGTTTGTCTGAGCCACGTGGGGCTATCAGGATGACTTTGGCCTTGTTGGCTCTTATTTTGTGTATTACCCTCAATAGCGGGGGATAGGGGGAAACGCATATAGCGGAGCCACTTCCCATTTGAGGAGAAAGGCATCGCCCAAGGAACGGGAGCCCAATCCTGCTCTTGAGCAGAACTGTGGACATTTGCAGTTCTGAGAGGACATGAAGAGGTCTATGCATGGGTGACCCCAGTGTTTGAATATGTTCTGCAGGACTGTGTTGTTTAGCTCCCACTTGTGGTCCTTGAAGTATTCCCTGCTCACCATATTCACTGGTGTGTTTTGACATCTTGGAAGGTACAAGGCTGAGATGCTGACATTGTGCCAGATACACCAGTTCCATGGTTTAATGGCTTCAGTGCATAGGAAATGCGACCTGGTCCCTCCCTGTCAGTTTATATAAAACATGCAGGAAATGTTGTCTGTCATTACCCGTACAGTCTTCTTCCTGTTCAATGCAAGAAAGTGCAAGCACCCGTTGCTAACTGCATGCAGTTACACATAAATCTGGAACAGTTCTTGGCGGGAGACCGCCTGCCCTGAATTGTGTGATGATGCAGGTGAGCCCTCCAGCCTATCAAGGAGGCATCGGTTGTGCGAATCATGGAAGGTGGAGTCTGTGTGAAAGGGACTCCCACACACATTGTTCGGTTGCTTCCAGCAGCATTGCGAGTCTTTGACTTTGAGCAGCATTATGAGGCGTTTGTTTAGGTCAGGGATCGGCAATCTTTGGCACACGGCTTGCCAGGGTAAGCACCCTGGCGGGCCAGTTTGTTTACCTGCCGCATCCACAGGTTTGGCCGATCGCAGCTCCCAGTGGCCGCAGTTCGCCCCTCCAGGCCAATGGGGGCTGCGGGAAGCGGCGCGGGCCAAGGGAACTGCGGCCACTGGGAGCTGCGATTGGCTGAACCTCCGGACGCGGCAGGTAAACAAACCGGCCCAGCCCGCCAGGGTGCTTACCCTGGCAAGCCATGTGCCAAAGGTTGACGATCCCTGGTTTAGGCTGTGTTTGTGTATGTAGACGATTCTTAACCAGCCCTGAAGGCCGCGCATGTGAAGATACACGTGTTGCACCACAAATGTGGTTGCTGCCTAGTGGCCCAATAGTTGGAGGCAGGTCCATGCCGATATGTGGGCTCTTCAGTATGATGGAGGTCAGATTGACTATGGTGAGGAATCTGGTCGGTGGAAGTGATGCTTTGGCCTCTAGAGCGTCGAGATGCACTCTGATGAAGTCCAGTTTCTGCACAGATGTCATTGTTGATTTTTGTACTTTGAGGTGTAGTCACAACCGTGAGAAGAGGGTGATTGTGTGTGTAGTGTCCATGACATCTGCCTGGGTGGTTGTTTTTTAATAGGCAATCATCCACATAGGGAAACATTGCCATTCCCTGTTTGCAGAGGTGTGCCACCACTCCTGTGAGCATTTTGAAAAAACACATGAGGTGCTGTCAAAAGGCCAAATGGCAGAACTTTGTATTGATAGTGTTCCATTCAGACCTGGCATCATAGCAAGGGTACTTCCAGTATCCTTGGGAAGAGCCCATGTATTGATTCCTCATTGTTTGCAACTCCAAAAAGTTGGTGCTGAGCTGAGAGACCACTTGCCTCCAGTCCCATCTACACTCCCCATACTGAAAAGCTGGTAGCAGCAGTCTTAATTTGAAAAATACTTATTACTTTGGTGGTTTAAAAAAGAATTTTTTCAGGTAGAAAAACACTCCAACACAGGAGTTAGTCTTCATACTGAAACACACTGTAGAAACAGAACTTCTGAGTACCTAAGAAATGCTGTATTGTGTCACTGTACAGCAGAGCCAAAGAAAGTTCTCCCTCGATACAGAAGTAACCAGAAACAAAAGTATAACCAGCGTATCGTAAGAATTTATTCAAAACTAGAGCATGAAGACATGAGCATACCAAGAAAAAGCTCACATAACCAAGTTACATGAATAGGACAAATCAGACACCCATGCAGAAGAAAACATGGACAAAACAGTAATGCACATGTTTTTTGTAATGGCAAAATATTTACCATCCTAAAACAGTATTCCAGACACCTAGAGTACTTCATTAATGTAAAAGATCATTTTTCTGAATGTGGATAAGTGCAATTTGTGGTAGTAATATGGAAAATAAACAACAAATTTAACAGCTACAGTATTCATCAGTCCTCATGCCATGTTTAAGAATACAAGCAAAGAATTGCATCATTACACAAAATAAGTAGATGTCTTTTCAAGGCAAAAAGTTCCTAGTAAAACAGTACTAAACTGCTGAAATAATGACTTGATAATATAAATGTTAAAAACAAAAAAACAAAAAACCCCATCATCTGTGGATGGGCACTTTTTGTAAAATTACACTAATATTCTGTAGAATCAAAAAGTGATGGTAACGGAATGGTCCAGTGCTCAAAACACTAATCAGAGCTTGAAAATAGTTCCGAAATCTGATAACTACAGAAATCATATGTAATAATATTAGGCAGGCAAAACAGTAGGGAAAAATGTAAATCTCACTTGAGAAATGGTAAGTCTATACTCTAGTGGTATTTAAGAATTTGGAGGTGAACAGCTTTACAAGCAACTGTATAGCCAAGTCTGACATAAATATACAATAAATACAGTATAGTTTTGTAAGAGTTCTGTGTATTATAAAAATATAAAACTAATTTCCACAGATTGCAGCAGGCAAACCAACCTGTTAAAGGTAACACAATGAAGCGGAGATATGGCAATCTTGACTGCCAGGAAACATTCAGACCAAGCTGATTTTGGTTTACTTTATGCAGATATTTACAATGTCATTATAATTTAATGATAAAAATATCTATTTGTTAGAAAATAATTCCTCTTCAACCTCTTTTAAAAGCTTTGTTTTTTTCTCTAAATACAGATTTCTGAAGTATTTAATAGTTTAGTGTAGTAATTATAACCTCGATTCACCTTCCCTTCCTATTTGCTGACAGAGTTCAGCATCATACTAATAGAATTCCCCTAAAAAGGTAACCATCAGATCAAAATCTTTCTATTTCTCGAAGACACAATTTATCTGCAGTGTTGCAAAGATAGTTTCTGGACACTGGCAAGGTTTGTTCAAAATTTTCTAATTCTCAAGCAAAGATGATATAGCTCAATAATATGCTGCTGGGTGAACATGCAGAGGGGTCGGGAAAAAAAGCTATATTTTCAGATGTTGTAAATTAGTGTAATTCCATGGAAGTCAATGGATTTGTGCCAATTTACACCAGTTGAGAATCTGGCCCATTTATTCTTAAAACCATATCATTATATATAAAAGTCTTATTTTTTTTAATTTTAAGAGAAGGAACTATGTTTGAACTTCCTTAAACAGAAATATTAAAAAAAAAAAACCTAATTTATTACTATTACACTGATGGAAAAAATTTGATTATGTCATTATCGAGCTCTGAAGGATCTACAATTTTCTATTAAAGACACGGAACACAAGAAGTAATGCCTGACTTTCCTCTTAGTTGTGTTTCAGAGTCTAATTATCAGGCTGAGTGCAAAAGGGGAGCAGAGGTGGAATATTTACTAGCGTTTCCCTCAAGCCATTAGCTATCACCAATTTATTCTGCGTATTACCAGAACATAGTATAAACATGGTTGAGGTGAAGAAGATAATTGCTAAGACCCAAATTCTGCACTCCAATCAGTGTGAGTTTGGCTCAATTCTGTCTTTTATTAGCTGACACAAGCTCCCTAAAATGGATTTTACATGATGCGTCAACTAATAATACTGCAGTGAACTGCAAAGATTTAAAAAAAAAAAAAATCCCAGGTATTCAGTTCAAGATTTAGAAAATTAACAGAATGTGTGCAAGACTATATTACAGATATACGCACATTGACTTGCCACCCAAAACCAGAATTTTATTTTGGTGGTTACGCAGTGCTCGTCCCTGTTGTATCCAAGTTCAGAGTTCCGCTTGTGTCTTGCAACAACTGCTATTCCTAACACAAAGCAATGAAGACGGTAGAGTTGCAGAGGAATGGCTAGCATAGCTTGTATACTTGCATCTACTGTTTGGGTCTCTAGAATACTCCCTCCAGTGAAGTAAGTAATGCCACAATATTAGACTTAGAAAAGCATGCACTTGTGTGTACACACAATGCCTGATGAGCTCTCACAAGTTTCCACATGCAAAGAATACAGATGTACTTTCATGTATATACTTTTGAAAGCCTGGACCCTACTACTTTAAGGCATTTTACATGGTATTACATTAACTTTTTATCTATGCCTTGTTTTAACTGTATAATTTTGTGTAGCACCTAGAGCTGGGGTTTTCAAAGTTGAGCAACTAACTTCCTCAGCCCCTTTGGAAGTCCCAGCCTCAAACACTAAGGCAGTTTCTCTGTAAATATATATGCATTATTCTATATTTCCTACCCGTTTTTCAGCATTAGTTATGTCTTTAAGTATTGCTGTAGACGGAACCCTGAACTCAAGTCTACACAGGTAAAAAAAATTAAGCCCAGATGAAAAACCCTAAAGATTAGTTAAACTACCTTGCTTCTTAAGCGTTCGAAGATGTTTCTCATATTCACTGTTATATACATAAACCCACCACACACTCCCATCTTGCCAACTGTAAAAATTCTTTTGGCTCCCCATTCCAGGTCTGTCAGGATGGAAAAATAACTATGCATCAAGATAGCTCAGTGGTTTGGGCATTGGCCTGCTAAACCCAGGGTTGAGAGTTCAATCCTTGAGGGGGCCATTTAGGGATCTGGGGCAAAAATCTGTCTGGGGATTGGTCCTGCTTTGAACAGGGAGTTGGACTAGATGACCTCCTGAGGTCCCTTCCAACCCTGATATTCTACAAGCATTTGTCATATCACTCCCAGTGAATTGCTTATGTCCCTGCATGAGAGAGGGTATGTCTATCCTGGAGCTGGAAGGTGTAGTTTCTAGCTTGAGTTGACATACCCACATGAAGTGTAGCTGTGGCATCAGGAGAGGCTAGCCATACCAAGTACGATCCTGTCCAAGACCCTTGGTACATTACGCCTTCCAACTCCAGTGTATAGTCTGAGTCTGTAAAGTGGATTGGGGCTTTAAAGTTTTCTATGGTAAGTTTTAATTAGATAGAAATTGACCTACACACACCGATATGAATAGTGATCTACATATCTATCGAGTTGTTTTTTTTTAATTACAGCCCCGAACTTACTTTTATAGATGCAATTTCAGCATCAGTTATGGCCTAGAGCTCAGTCACATATTTTCACAATATCCCAGGATTTTGGCAGCAAGGTCTCTACCCTTGAACTGAAATCAAAAATATGCTGTTAGTATTTCCAGAAGAAAACTAACCAAAAGAATTTAAAATAAAAACATTTAAATAACCATCTTTAAATTAAAAAAAAAGAAAAAAAAAGGATAATCCAGTTGTGTTTACATGAAACTGGTATATCATTGAGGCTTGTTACTTTAATTTTTCTTTTAAAACTTTTCCTTTAGTGAATTTAATACTCCGAGAAAGACAATATCCCTCAATAGCTAGATTTAGGCATACTGCATGGAAACATTAATCTTGCTTACACAGCTCAGCCAACCCATCAAATACCGTCTACACTATCCTCTCCTGCTTCAATATTTACCCTCTTTGAGACGGATGAACAACTGTGAGTGTTTTGGAGTGGTAGCTAACAAGTGTTAGAGACCTTGCAAAATCCCTTACATTAACTGGCTTAGTGGTTTTGAGATGGTCTCTAATGTGTAGGTTTCCAGAGCTGGAAGGCTAAGCTATCAAACCACTACCTTGCTCCATTTCCTTTTGTTTTAGGATTATTTAAAATTTAGAAATCAAAATGGGGGTGGTAGTGGGGGGAAATTTTCATGAACTCCTCCCCTCCTTGGCTCCAGTTATAACAATTTTTTTGGCAAGTCTTCTGCCGTTGCACTTTTACTGGTAACAGTACTAGTGTTGATAGTGCACCAGTGCTTTTACCAAATGTAATCTAAAACTGCTCAGAGCAGATCTAGACAACAAGATGGTGAAAAAGCAAGTAACTACCTGAGCCCTTCAAAAACTAGTGACCTCACCACTGAGAAGTGGAATATGCAGCCATTATTGTCACTTTCACAAGACAAAAGGAAAGAATCTGAGTAGCACCTTTCTTTCTGGATTTATTACTGATGTTTGAATAACAAATTTGTTTATTCTAGACCATGGGAATCATGCTAATCATTCCATAGACTCGTATCTTGTATCCTTATTACAAGAAGATATATAGCAAACCGTATGTAATCTAACATCGATTACTCTGGTAGCTCCAGTCCAAATACGATGCTTGAAATGTTAATGCACAGTGTGGACTGAGCTCCAATAAATTTACAATACATCTTGCATTTCAGATCAGGGCAAGCACTAGGTTTTTACATAACGGAGTGCTTGCCCTGATCTGGAATGCAAGATGTATTGTAAAAAGTGATCGTATATAAAATAGTCTTAAAAGGAAATGCATTACAGTAGCAAGTCACCACTTTCACAATCAGGAAACAGTGTGTATATCTTTAGGATTCATTCTTGATCTGTAATATCTTCAATTTGTTTTTGCTGTGTTTTAGGTATTGGTAGTTCAAGGCTTGCCCATAACATGGGCTCTGCTTTCCTCATAGTGAGCTCAATCTTCGTAGCTGTCATGTTTACATAACTCCTCTTCACATCAATTACCTGGAACAGAACAAGTATGTTTCACTTAAATTTAGGAATAAGACTGTTGGAAATATGTAAATAATTACTATATGCTCAGCACGCATTATGGGAGTTTTGCAGTCTCCAAATGTTTGGGTCTGGCAACAGTATAGGATGGAATTTACCTAGGACTGTTCCATCTCCAAATATTTGCAAAATTAAAAAAACGGAGTAAATCTATAAAACATAGTTGCCCCCGAGGTCCCAGGAAGCGGTCCACTGGAGGGAGAGATCAGCTTTTAAAGTGCAGTTGCCTCTGGGTTCCGGGGAAAGTTGTGCAGCCTCAGCCCTTTCCTACACTCTAAGCTGGGGCAATAGATTATTTTTTCTCAAGGTCCAAATTTCTTGGTCAAGGTATAGCCAAAGTTCAAACTCCAGAGAAAATATAATCATTATTGTTATTTTTTTAAGTAAACCATTCAAAAGCATTTGACGGTCCAGATTTGACCCGTGGTCCATCTATTAAGAACCCCTCCTCTGAGCCGTGAAGAGAGAAACTGGCATGCATATGTATGTAGAATACGCATGCTACTATATGCACGCACAAGTTTGGCATATGCAATTACATGCAACTATACTTGGAAAGGTCTGGCCCTAGAAGTTTTCTGCAATACTCATATTGCAATTATGCTTAGACTGGTAAATCCTGCACAAATGAACTTCTTTTGTTAATCCAGACCTGTAGAAGTGTGGTAGTTTTAGAAAAAAACAAAACTATTCTATTCTGAAAAAAGCTTTGGCTGAGCATGAAACTGAGTAAAAGTCTTAACAAAACATTCAAGGTTGTTATACTTACTCCCCACAATTTCACACTGTGATCAAATTCTTTATCTCCTTCAAATATAATATGGATATTTAGCTAAACGAGAAAAAATACAGAAGAGATTTATTAATGTCAAGTGACTAAGTTTAAAATAAAAGTATGACATTAGGACCCTAATCCTACATCACTGAAGTCACCAGGACTCCACACAAACAGAGGTCTGCGCAAATGGCTCCTGATGCAGGATCAGAGCCACGTGTGGCAACATGATGTATCTGTAGAAGAAGATATCAATGATGATGCCGGTATTAGGCAATACAATTTTCCAAAATGTGTATTTACGGAATCACAAATTAGAATATTTCATTGTAAAAATCTGCACCACAACGCAGTATCTGTGAAGCTACATATCATAAGAGAGAGTCTGCTTACTTTTAAAAACCTAGAATATAAATTTAGAAAATATTTTGGTAATAAAATTATGTAAACTTTTAAAAGATGTTTTGTAAAGATTTAAAATTTAAGAAGTTTGTCTAAAGGAACAAAAAGGCACAAAATGCTTAGGAACCTGCAAGTCTACCAAGACTGAAACTGTCAAAAAGAATTATGTCTCACAGAAGAAGACTGTTACAGCATTTTACTTGTTTCCTTAAAAGAGCAAAAAGATTGTGTTTTAATATTTATGCACAAGAGTACATCCAAACGATTTATATTTTGCTATATTTAAACATCAAGTTTAGAAAAACAGGAAATATTTGTTTATTTAAAATAAAACAAAGATACTCACCATTGTGCTATTTGCTTCTACGTGGCTAAGTTCAGGAAGTGAATTTTTCGCATATATTGAAATAGTCACTTCACCTCCAGTTTGATGCCAATCATGCCTACATGGAACTACTTTTTTGCCCTACAAAACAAAGGTGTATTTTGGAAAAATACAGTATTGGAACTCTACATTCAGGATACATTTTTAAAAAATTGCTCTGAAAATTGTCATGTAGGACAACATTTTAATGAGAATAAATGTAACTAGTACAGGATTAAATTCTGCATTTAGATGTGTGCGCAGGAACCCTACTAACGTTAAGGAAAAATTACATAATGGTAAGTGTTTGAGGGTCCTCTCCCATACTACATATCAAGATTCCATACAGAAAGGATTATAGATCTACCTTCTAGGCAAAAGTAAAAAAATCTCAGTGGAGAAATCTCTCTTTAGCAAGGAGCCACTTCTTAACTCTATCATTGGACAAGCAGACTCAAAACTTAACAATATTAGAGATATAAAGATGTATATACAAAAGTAAGGATAATAGAATGGGGCGGAAGGTATCACAGGTGAAGAAAAACTATCCTAGTATATAGTTTTTCCTTGTCAAGTATCTCCATCCTATAACATTAGGGAGGCATCCCATCCAGCAAAATAGAAGTGACATGAATTAAAACTTTCTAATAGACTACAGCCCCCATCCCTTATATAGCCCCACCCTCTAGAAGGTCAGAGCCAAAGAGATACAAGAGCATTCCAATGGGCACTACTACTAGAACGCTCCACCAGTTCAAGCTATACTATTGGCATATCTCCTAGATTGGAAATTTGCAGAGGCCAGCTGAAGAGGAATTTTTTATACCATCTATGAAGTACCAATTGTACAAGATCAGACGCTCAGATTCATACCCTTTCTAATGCTTGAAGGAAGTATTAGTGGGAATGAGAAAAATCTCACAGTAATTGACTGGACAGCCTGTTATCTAAACTTGAACTGGGCAGTAAAAGGGCACTGGAGAGAGGGCTTCATATTACTGCTGCAACAAATATGTCACAGAACACTCCACAGTGGCCACTGGTGGGAAGAGTACAGAGAACGGGACAAGGGAAGGAAGGAGGAAAGTCACACACTAAAAAAGGAGTATCCAGGAAGAAGGAAAGACTAAATCCATTCAATGGCATGACAGAAAAACAAAAAAACAAAAGAAATCTCTGGGCTCCCTGAATTTGGTACTTTCTGTTCTAGACAGAAGGAAAGGAAACCAGACTCCCAACTCCTTTGCTAAAGAAATAAAAACAGAGTTACCCAGGGAGAGATGGAATGTGGAAAGAGGTACCAGGTGGGAAATAAACCAAGGTTTTCCCAGGGGCCCATCTTTCTTGTTTTGTGGGAGGGTGAAGTTAAAGAAGAGAGAGTATGCTAGACTCCCAGGTAATGGTACTTACACTTTGCTGGAAGAAAGAGGAAAGAAGTTTGAGCACAGCACTGCAGACCAGTGGATTGCAACATAGCTATCTTGAACTAGAGCATCTAGTACAGCTAATATACGGTGGTTGGCCCAGTGAGGCAGTTGCTAGGCTGTATGAAAGCATTAGTGACAGCATTTCAGCCACCTTCCCACAGCAGAGACCAGCCAGCTGGGAATACAGATTGCCATGAAACACATGATTTTGCTACTAGCCCCAGTGGGCTAGGAGCCAGCTATTTTAGTGAAGTTGCTACAACTAAAAATGAGGTTTAACTTTTTCCTTTTAAAGGGATTTCTCCACCCCCCTTGCACACACACTCAAGTCCTTTTATCCTCATTTTTCTACTTCAAGAAAAACTGAGGAATACAGTTACAATCAGGAAGTGACAGAGAACTGACAAGAATTCTGTGTTTCCAAGAGATTAAGTGGGTTTGGGGGGAAAAAATGACTAAGGGAAGAGATAGCACCTAGGTACACCTCTTTTCTTCCTTTTAACAATGCTACATTTACTGTATGGATCTTATTTTGTAGGTCAGGAGCAGAGAAGATATTGACACTGGAGTTGAGTATACACATCTAAGAGCAGAACATGACCGGATAGTATTTCTAAATTTGAAAGTGCTCAGCTACATTGTTTCATAGTGTAACACCACTCTAGTCTTGTAGCATCCTCACACAACTTCTTCAAATATTACCATAAGTAAAACAAAGGAAAATACAAGTCCATACTAACCTGTCTGGTTTATTCCCAGCTCTGCTATGGAACAGCTATAAGCAAAAAGCACATTCTGTGTCCTAATATACAAATAATCAAACCAAGCAACGCACTATGCTTTAGAACAAAATAAAACCCAGTGTAAGAATGGTGTTTGGAGACGATAGAAAAGTAATATTCCCACCAGTCCCAGCCCTAGAACACTCGCTATTTCTGTGGCTTATCCAGTGTGAATGAGATTTTGGCAAGCAAGATTATTTTAGTCTATTTAAATGTATTCTAGTCCTAGTTTTAGGAAGATGTTTCTCTGTGAAATTTTTTTGGGGCTCTTTGTTAGCATATGCGTTAACATTTATAAGTGTTGGGTTGGGAAGTCTATCACCTAAAAAAGCCTTACAGAATTGTTTAGAAATATGACAATGCGTACAAACAGTGGGTTTATTTTATTTTGTTATTTCACAATATATGTTTCAATAAAAGGTGTGGTTGTATACAAACAAGTACAGTATTTCACTCAGATTAGTTTTGGTTCCATTATTGATCTCATTAAACTGCTCCCAACACTCATCAACACATATTAGAGAAATTGTATAATTCTGGAGGTAGGGGAATTATTAGTCTTTGTTTAACTAAAGCTGGAATTCAGCCCAGCACCATACTTTCTTAATGACTGGGAAGTTAAGTAACCAATTACCAGTGGCAAAGTTAGTACTACTTACAGCATCCTTTTTAGTCCACACGTGTGTTCCCGTTGTACAGCCTTCTTGAGACAAAAATGTATTAAAATCAGAAGTTTTTCTCCTACAACAGCTCCAGTACTTCATCCTTTGAAGGAATTTTAAAAGAAAATAATTTAACAAGCCATAATTGAGGCTAAAATTGTGTCACAGAGGTCGTGGAAGTCACAGAATACATGATTTCCAGAGACCTCTGACATTTTCTGCTTCAGCTCCTAGCCACCACGGGAGAACCCTGAAGCTCACGGGCAGCAGGTGGACCCCAGAGATTCCCATTTTGTCAGGGTTTTTTTTTTTTAGTAAAAGTCAGGGACAGGTCACGGCCTTCCATTAATTTTTGTTTATTGCCTGTGACCTGTCCCTGACTTTCACTAAAAGTAATCACAACAAAAAATCTTAACCTTAGCCATAATACATACACAAGTCAAATATTTAGAAACATTTAGCACTATCAACAGTTTTAACAGTGTAAACATCTTTCCTTTTAAAAATAACCAACTGCATATGTATTTAGAAAGAGTGATTATAGAGAATTTATGTAAGCAAATTCTATTAATTGCATAATACTAACCCTTCGTGGAATATAGGTACTCCAGAATGGTATATACATATTTCTTCTGTGCTCTGTGGTCCTTCAAATGTCTGGTGAAACACAATTTTTTTAAAAATGATTTCTCTCTTTTCAAGAAGTAAAAAATAAACTATTAGAACAGAACAATTAGCAAAACACATTGCAAACACTGACCAATATGTATTAATACATTTGAAACAAACCAAAAATGGGCTCTTTCTTCCTCTATGCTGCAAAATAAACTCAAATAGAGACATTCATTCAATGTTCATAAAAAGTGCCTCCCCCCATCCGCTTTAAAAGTATCCTTTATATTGACTCTGAGATATCGGGATAGTATCGCTATTAGTACTCAAAGTCTAGTTTAACCTCTTCTTAAAGAGAAATCCAGAACTATTCAACTCTGTTTTCACATTTTTCACAGGTAAACCAAGTGTGCGCATGTACACACACAAACACACACAGGTGATGAAGTAATGTATCTGGTGCATTATTAAAAAACTGCAAGCTTAAAATGAGGTCATTCACCGATGGAAAAAAGTCACCAAAATGAAGCACCATAAAAGGAAGCAGCCCAATGTACTGCTAGGTGTTTAGCAACACGAGGATCTATTATTGTAATACCAGTCCCTCGTAATCCAATTGACAGTACTGCAATCCAGTGGAGAGGGTCACAAACTCATGTGCAAACACCACCCTCACCAGGAGAGCCTCAATGATAAAGAACAAAGAATCCTTCAGACCTTGTGGTTGTTACAGATTTTTAGTTTGCATCCCTCCTGTTCAATGGAAGGTTGTCAGGGGAAAAAGTGAGGGTATGTCTAACCTGCAATTAAAGACCCCTCAGCTGGCCCACGCCAGCTGAATTGGGCTCATGGGATTCAGGCTAAGGGGCTGTTTAATTACGGTGTAGACATTCTCTCTCAGACTGCATCCTGAACTCTGGGACCTCACAGAGTCCTAGAGGCCGGGTTCCAGCCCAAGCCCAAATGTCTTTACTGCAGTTTAACTGCCCCTAAGCCTGAGCCCAAGTCAGTTGGCATAGGACAGGCACAGGTTTTTAATTGCAGTGTAGATATGTCCTGAGACAATTTAGGTGGTACTGGAAGAATGGTTTTATGGTTGAAGTGTAAAATATGGTGTTCTTCAGGTAGGTAGCAAAGATTGTTCGATTAGTAGGTACTGCATAGACTGCAGAACTTCACTAGTTGCCAGGAGAAATTTGAAATATTTATCAATAAAGTCTTTCATAGTTTGGTACCACCTCACTCCACCTAATTTTTAACTGCTGGACTAAAGTATCAGAGATGCTCAGACTGACAAACTCCTATGTTTTTTAATTTGGGGCCCAGAAACCTCAGTGATGGGCCTCAACTCTTGAGATTACTAACTCATTGGTCCAAAAGAACCTACATTTTGACCTTTTGAATATGTTGAAAGGTGTATCTATTTATTCAGACTTGTAGACCTTGTTTGGACTCTTAATTACTTTGTAATGTGTTTTAAAATACTGACTTGTTCATGTTCTTAGGATTCTATAGGTTTACCGTAAACAGAAGGAATAAAACAGCTATTTACCTTCAAACAGCCTCCATTTTTACATGACGTCCCAATTTTTATCTCATCACTGTCCTCTTCTGTAAAATTAAGGCATATAGATATCCTTACTATAAATATAAAAATGCCACTTTATAAATATCAAATATTTAGTTTACTTAAAGTTAAAGTCTAGATTCTGACAGACCCTTCCACATGTCCATAGGTGGTAGGTGAAAGAGTACAAGGAGCATCCCTCATTTTCTGCACCCTACACAAAGACCTGTCAGAAATACATACAGAAACTACTTCCTATATGTTCCCTAATGCGATCAGAGATCAGACAGGACCATGACCCCAATACACTTCTATATCTGCACACTGAGCTGGTGTGCTGAGGGAAGCATTGTGCACCACATAAGGGAGCACAGAAGAGGGTGCACTTGCCTTGCATGCTGGAATGTTCAGGGAGGAATTACACAAGCAGTTCTGGAGGTTATTGGGAGTTGATGACTGCTCAGCACTTTTTTTGGGGGGGGGGGGGGGGGCGGGGGGGGCGGGAGACACCCACAGGCAGGTGCCTTAATATGAACTCCTCTTTCTGAAAACTGTGGCTATGTTGTATAGAGTGCTACCATATTAGAAATATAATTACTTGATACTGGGCTATCCCAGAGTTTAAAACTCTCCAGTATTTAAATTAATAGTTTTGTTGATAAATTAAAGGACTTTCTTCTTTACATTATATATCGCATACATCCTCTTTGGAGTTATTATGCAATGATTTAATTGTGATAGATTTTTAAAACAGCCAAAATAGCAGTCCTAGTAGACGTTATCTCGACAACTAGAACTTCTACGAATTTTTTTTTAGAAAGGCAGGGCCATTTCCCTTGGAAAGAGGGCTTTAGTTCGGAGTAAACAATATGGGAACATCTACAAAGAGACCATACAATTTTAATTCCTAGGCCAGAAGGGAGCATTGACCATCTAATCTGAACTCCTCTAAAACATAGAGCCATAGAACTCCCCCAAAACTCCTCCTAGAAAATATCATTTAGGGTAGGTCTACACTTACCCGGTAGTTCGGCGGCGAGCAATCGAACTTCTGGGTTCGACTTATCGCGTCTTGTCTGGACGCGATAAGTCGAACCCAGAAGTGCTCGCCGTCGACTGCGGTACTCCTGCTTGGCGAGAGGAGTACCGCGGGGTCGACGGGGGAGCCTGCCTGCCGCGTGTGGACCGAGGTAAGTTCGAACTAAGGTACTTTGAACTTCAGCTACGTTATTCACGTAGCTGAAGTTGCGTACCTTAGTTCGAATTGGGGGGTTAGTGTAGACCTGCCCTTAGAAAGACATCCAATCTTGATCATCTGGGTCAATCTATTTTCAATTACCTGGAATGTCTATTGTTCCAAGTGAAAACAGTTTTTCCATTGAAACTGTTTGGAAAAATATGCCAGGGATAACAAATACCTAACTTCCTGAAGTAAGAAGTAAGTGTATACAATACACACCATTGATGGTTTGAATAAACTGCGTAAGGAAACATGTTTCTCTCCTGGTGTCAGTTTCAATTTAATTGCTGCCTTCTGTGGAACTAATTTGCTGGAATATGTGGTTCTTGAATACCTTTGTAAAGTCATTAATTCTGAAACACTCGCATGTGAGACATTCTACCATTTATCTAATGGCAACAAGTGTGTCTTTGGCATGTCATTTTGTTGGTACAGATTCTTACCTTTTTTTTCTTCTTCATTCTCTGATGATAGTTTCAGTTTATCTAGTGCTTGTTTCAGGGAAGCTGATACTTTCAGCTGTAAACTTGTCATTGGCTCATCTGGGCTAAAATATTTAAATGTATTCATGTTATCTTGGTCAAAATAAATTATGTAATATGACAAGGGATATCTTTCAAATCTCTGCTGTGACAAAATTAGAATACTCTTCACCATCACTCTGACATGACATAGAAAAAAAAAAGCCATTTCAATCAGCCACTACAAAATACCTTCCCCGCAAGATAATTCCAGGGAAGAGAATGAAATCTCATTATGAAATAGTACAATTGATGATGGCAAGCTGGCTGAGTCTTAATTCAGTCAAGACCAAATTGATGTTAGTGGGTTGGGAAAATCAACTAGAAGAGTTGTCAAAGGCAATATCTGTACTCTATGTTGAGGGACTTCAGCTGCTATATGTGACTCAGATTCCCAATCTTGGTGTTTTATTAGAGCCAGGGCTAGGGTGACCAGACGTCCCGATAAAATCGGGACCGTCCCGATTTTGAGCTGTTTGTCCCACGTCCCGACCAATCCCTGGTCGGGACGCAATTTTTGTCCCGATATTTTGCACCGCCAGGATCACTCAGCTTTTTTTTTTTTTTTGCCCCCCCACCCCGGTGTCCCGATATTTTCTTCATCACATCTGGTCACCCTAGCCAGGGCTACACTCAGAAGATCACACAGCAGCTGTACCCTAAAAGATGTTTTCAGAACACTACTACAAAGATCATTTACCCAGCCCTTCGCTTTGCCCATGTCACTCCCTCTTTGAATCTCTCCACTGGCTCCCCCTTCTTTATCATATCAAACAAAAGCTGCATGTCTTCATTTTCAAGGCCCTTCATGACCTCTCCCCATTCTCTTTCAATAATGAGATGTTGACTCCTGCCTCCAATAGGCGCATGAGGCCATCCTCCATTAGCAGACTTTGAAAATTTTCAAACAAAAACTTTCATGCTTTCTCCCATGCTGTCCCTCATGCTTGAGCAATTCCCTGTAAACATCTGCAGAGCTACTTCATTAGACTCCTTAAAACTCTCCTTTGCCATAATGCCTACAAAAACTTGACAACAGTTAAGCCACTAGTGTGCTGAGATCACTGCTTATGCTAACACATTATCTCACTGTTTCCTTGTACTTCCCGATCTGGTTGTATTCCTATATTGTCTTGTCTTACACTTAGGTTGTAAGATCTTTGGAGCAGGGTCTGTCTTTTTGTTCTGTGTTTGTACAGCACCTAGCACAATGGGGTTTTGTTCCTTCTCTATGGCTCCTAGGCACTATGACAACATTTATTATTTGTATTATCTGTCACCTTATCTACAAGAAGGTATCTTAGAACAGAACAGTTGAAACCCAAGAGTAGACACAGCCCATATTTTAATCACAGGCATTAAGGAACCTGAGGTGAAAGTTAAGAGTGATTTAGATAAAAGTCACATTATTTGATTTGGTAGAGTGGCTTTACTTCTTGTGGCAGAATGCTAAATTGACAAATGTAACTAACGTATGTGTTTAATTTCTCATTGTGTGTGTTAAGGTCTGATTACAAAGTTAAGAAATAAATAGAAATAGTGATATTCTTACTGGAATATATGTCAATATAGCTCAGTTATCAGTACTCTTGACCACAAAGTTCCACACTAGACTTTGGCTCCTATACAATGACAACACTGAGGGGTTCTGTCCTATGTTTCTGTCCTTCAGAATAGATGTTAACCAAGGGCCCTTTATGTCCATATTTCAGGCAAGTCCAGATCAAAATTAGAAATAACTTCAATATTGTTGCCAATTATCCTACCAAGACATTGTACAAGCTATTCTCAAGTACACAATGGTCATTTCATTTGCCTATGCTTCCACAGCATGTAACTAAAATATTTTGAATTAATTCGTATAAGAGATGCCATATAAAACCAAAAGCTGTAATTTAAATATTGTCATTGCTAGGTTTGAAAAAATCTGACTTAATAAATTAATGTCCACTTGAAAATTATGTAATATAATAATTATGTAATTATGTAATATAAAATGAAGGGTTAGGATATCTATTTTAAGATTTAATGCTGCTGCTTGTCACCATAGTACCTTCCAAATAAAATCAATGGCAATAACCAAAACAAGTTCTAAGTTAGCCATTGGAAACAAATTTGGCACAAATGCCAGTTCAATATACCGTACCTTGGCCTATTAATGGTTTCCACTGGCTTTGGTGCCCGAATTATATGCTCCTGAAATTTAGGTTTCAGTTCAGCTAGCTCCTTTCGCTCAGAGGTAGTTTTGACTTCAGGTTTCACAGGCTCAGGGGGTTTCTCACTATTATGGAGACCCTTTGTACAGCCCTGTTGTAGATGACAGAAACATATGTGAAAAAAAACCCAAAACAAACAAAAAAACCCACTTCATGTGCAAAGTCCAAAAACAAACTATTATCCAAGTTTAATGAACTAATGCAATTTGATTTTTCACCCTCATCCTTCACCCTTTGCTCAGTTCTAGTGGCTGCTTTGCAACAAATGCTATAACTAAAGTTGAAAAATGGTTTAATTAACATCCACATCTCCTGGTTTTCAGATATATAAACAAACTTTCTGGAACACTTATATGAAGTGTTCTACACTTGTTAAGAGGCTTTTTTTTCTTTTTTTTTTTAAAGTTTGAGCAAAATCTCTTTAGTTGTTTATGATTTAGACCAGTGGTTCGCAAACTTTTTTTTCCCCGCAGACCACTTAAAAATCGCTGAGGGTGTTGACGGACCACTTAATGATCTTTCCAAATGTTGTTTGCACCGTTGGCTAACTATTGTAAAGCGCCTTATAAAAGCACCATATTAAAAAAACAAACAAAAAAAACAACCACTTTTTTTGTTCTCCAGATAAAAGCACACAACTCATATTTTAATATCAGCAGTCTTACCTTTCTAATGCAACAGATGTGCTCTCTCCCCCGCCGCAGCAGCCCCCAAGCTGGGGCTAGGAAGGAGGGGGGGTTCTCCCTCTCTCCCCCACTGCAGCAGCCCCCGAGCTGGGGCTGGGAAGGCGGGGGGGTCTCTCCCTCTCTCCCCCGCCGTGGCAGCCCCCGAGCCGGGGCTGAGAAGGAGGGCCGTCTCTCCCCAAGAGCCGCAGCCCTGGAGCTGGGGAAAGTCACCTCTTTCTCTGGCCGACGCAGCCCTGAACATCCCAAATTCACCCCACCCCTTCTCACCCTGCACAGCTCCACTAATTAGGTGGGTGGCCCTTCATTCTCTTGTGCGGGGCCACCCAGGTGCGCACCTTAGAGGGAACTATCCATAGACCACCTGAATGGAGCTCGTGGACCATTGGTGGTCGGTGGACCACAGTTTGAGAACCTCTGATTTAGACAAATGAGTGTAAAAACACCCTCCTTTCTTCTCCTGGCCTCATATTTTTATAATATTATAAACGCATTTTGACAGAACCAATTAATAAATTTCTGAAATTTAGAAATTGAAACTTAACATCTAAGTAGTCCACAAGGAGAAAGAGTGCCGTGCTTCACTCTGTTTGATTCAAAATAATTTTGGTTTAACAAGATGTATCCATTTAAAAATTTGCTTAATGTAACATCTAATTCTATGATTTTTGATACCAAACATTTTTGATAGCATAACAGATAAGCTATATAAACTGCAATAATATTAAAAAAAAAAAAATCACCAATACATACCACAATGCTTAAGAAGTCAGAGAAGTCTGTTGTTCTTCTCTTACAACATGACCAGCCCTATAAAATTTGGAATAAAATAATGAGAGAAATGCAAACACAGTTTATCAGTAACAGTTTATTAGAAGCAAAAGGTTAGTGATAATTCTTTCCAGCATATGCTGCTTTACAGTCTTAACACAGTGGTTCTCAAACTTTTGTACTGGTGACCCCTTTCACATTGCAAGCCTCTGAGTGCAACCCCCCTTATAAATTAAAAACACATTTTTATATATTTAACACCATTATAAATGCTGGAGTTGAAGCGAGTTTGGGGGTGGAGGCTGACAGTTCGCGACCCCCCCCCATTTAATAACCTCATGACCCCTAGAGGGGTCCCAACCCCCAGTTTGGGAACCCCTGTCTTAACACTCTCTTCTCCCTTGAACACTGCTGATCATCTCTGTATTTTTGAAAATGTAAAGACTTCTACCTATTTTATGTCAGCCTCCTTCATTCCCCCTTCTCTAGTGTCATCTTTGATTTAGACAGTCATCTGCTCAAATTAGGTCAACTCAAAACCAACATTTATTATATCAGATGAGACAGTCCTGATGCTAGAGAAACAGATCTTACTGCACTACACAAAACAACTTATCTGGAAACTCAAAGAACCTTTAATTTGGTATTACAAAAGATACTTTGACTAACAATGTATTTCTGCAGCAGATTAAGAGACATGACGATGGGAGACACTTTCTTTCTTTGAACTACTGCAAAATAATGCTCCCTGTTTCCTCTAAACATTCATCCTTTACACAGGCAATATATTGTGAACAGCAAGACAGCATGTATTGTTTAGGTTATTTAGGACACATATTAGAAGGAAAATTATACCCAATGGGGCTCACTATAAATTTTCAGTGAGACCAGGAAATGAGGGGAGAAGAAAAAAGGGAGACAGAATGTGTAGTTTTTTTGTAACAAGTGCTGATTTAAAATTTTTATTAAAGCTAATGTTAAAATTATCTAATACAAGGTTAAAGAAAGAGTGTCTATACATCTATAATGCCTAAATTATCCAAAAGTACAAAGTTTGGTTTAAAAATCATAATTAATATATATATATATATATATAGTACATAATCTGCAATATCCCAAATATAGGTTAATACATTTAGCGATACAGTTAAAATATTAGCATCCAAATATTTGGGTACATCACTCGTAAAGAGTTATACTAAGAGTAGCTTGTGGAAAGCAAATATAGCAATGAGTGTAGATTGACCCTCACTAATTGAGAATTTAGGATAAGTTGTCCGTTAGTAAATATTCTGGATATTTTCTTGGATATTATTTCTGTCTAAAATTCTGGTATTCAGCTTCAGCCAATCAATTTTTCAATAGCTATTCATAGCCAGCTAGTAAGCTATGCTGCTCACTCCTATCATTACCAAGGAATAGTTATCTTGGGCACATCTCTCCTCTCAATCACGGCCATTTCTGATGGTGCCTCAGCACAAAATTGGAAAAGAGGAAGGTTTTGAGGAAATTCCACTCCTCCACCTTCTGGCTTCTCCTCATGGGACTAACTATTGCTTCTCACCTCTTCCTTATAGCAAGCTGATGCCAGACAGTCTCTTTTCAAGTCCTCTCCCACACTGTATAATCATTCACAAATTCACGAACCTTATAGGTTTGAGATGTTCTTCTTATGGTTTTTTTTTTTCATTCCTTATTTCTTGCAGTCAATATTTTAAAGCTATCATTTTGCCTCCTCCAAACTTCACATTAACTTCATTTAGCATCAGATAGGCAGAATTCCTTAATGAAGACCTTGGCCTTTATACAAGCCAAGATTCTCAGATTTTTCCATACAGTATCTCCATGGCGACTACACTAATTGCTTACCTGGACAAATAAAAGTATTTAATATATTTTTGCTGTCTTAATGAAACTACTTCCAAAATTGAGGAGAATCAACAACATATGACCAGCCTGTTCCCTGCAGGCCATCAACAAATGCTTCCTGGACCACCAATGATCCACAGATCACAGTTTAAGAACTGTTGATATAAACAAGAGACTATTGAGAAAAAGGTCTAACCTTTCCAAACTGTATTAGTCAGTTTTTGAGAGACATAATTTTCTTTAAAATGCAAAAAGAATACAAAGAATAACAAATTTTAAATTATGTGTACTGAAATTCTAAAATGTCTATAATCAAAAACAGTTCTACATGCAGTGCTTTTTACATGGCTGTGGTAAGGCAATACATTTGTCACAAAATGATATAGGATATGTAATGCTTAAACAACATGCTCAGTTTGAGATTAATAATAGAAAAATAATAATCACCTGCTGCAGTGAGTGGTCAAACAATGTACCTGTTACTTATTGCTTGAGTCTAGCCAATATTCAGTTTCTTTTTCAACTTTGGATAAATGCCATTTCCAGGGGGGTTTTGATTGAATTCCAGAGAAAGGACATTTGCTACATCATTGACTCAGTTCAAAGACACTAAGGATTTAAAGAACCTTTCACTACCTATATCCTGGCATACCCACCTTTAGAGCATCATGAAAGACTGGAACACCTGGATGATATGTGCATGAATCTGAAAGAAAAGAAAAATGCCGTACTAATTGAAAATGCAAATTAAATTAACCAAAAAACCCTGCAACTATTAATCTAAACACAATTACAGCCAGAACTCCACACATTTGAATCTCACATTGCACATGAGCTCCACCTTCCACCCCTTTCCCATTACTCTTTTAAACTGAAGAAAACTCCCCAGGAGAGCAAATTCAGACTTGACAGAACAAGTATTCAGAGAGTATATATGGAGCCATAGATATCCTATTTAGACTAAGTTCCTTGAGGTAGAAACTTTTTTTTTTTTTTTGGCCATATACACCACAATATAAGCACATAAATAAAATTACCTTTACTACATTTATTAGGGGATCTTTTGGGGACCATGATCAGCACTCATATAGAGCTAACCTTAACTGGTATCCCAGTAGAAAGGGAGACAAATGTCAGCCTGGTCCATTCTCAACTCAATTTTGCAACACTCAACATGACTATTTACAGTTGTTTGGGAGATGGATTCAATCCTCCTAAGCCAAAGGCACCTAAGGTTCCACACTGCCTTAAATCTTATCTGGTGTTCACAAACTTGATTAAAGGATTGCAAAGCATGCCTTATAGCCAAAGACTCAATGAACTCCATCTGTTCAGCTTAACAAAGAGAAAGTTAAGAGGTGGCATGATCACAATCTATAAGCCAGGGCCCCCACAGCGGTCAGCTGCCGGGGGGGCTGGATTCCCCTCCCTCCTCGGCAGGGTTCAGGCTGTCAGTCCTGCCTAGCAGTCAGCCCTCCCGTTATTTTTAGCAAAAGTCACAGCTTCCGTGAATTTTTGTTTATTGCCTGCGACTGTCCATGACTTTTTCTAAAAATAACAGACAAAATCTTAACCTTAATCATAGGATAAAGCATCAGTTTCCCTCACTGCACAAACTCTAAAATGGACAAACAGAACCAGATCCAAGTCTGTGTCCTAGAAGCCAAAGGCTTCATATCCCATGAACTAGCTACAGCCAGCATGTATCCTTTGCTTTGTTCCAACTCAGGACATCACTGATGAAAGAGACACAAGGATATAATCAGGCCATGTGCAGAACCGGCTGACCACTTGTTACGTGTGGGTATGTCTACACTGCAATTATGCACTGTTGTTGTAGCCCAGTCAGTCCTAGTTATATTAGAGAAACAAGATGGGTGAGCCCCCGCCTTAGAATTATAGGACTGGAGGGGACCTTGAGAAGTCATCCACTCCAGTCGCCTGCAGTCATGGCAAGGCTAAGTATTATCTACACCATCCCTGACAAGTGCTTGTCTAACCTGCTCTTAAAAATCTCCAATGATGGAGATACACAACCTCTCTGGACAATTTATTCCAGTGTTTAACCACCCTGACAGTTAGGAAGTTTTTCCTAATGTCCAACCTAAACCTGTCATTGCTCCTTGTCCTATCCCCAGAAGTTAAGGAAAACAATTTTTCTCCTAACTTCTTGTAACAACCTTTAAATGAGGAGTTACTGTACATAAAAGTCCTCCCGCTTAATGTTGTTTCAAAGTTATGTCTCAATTAGGGAACATACTCGTTTAAACTTGTGCAATGCTCCCTTATAACGTCGTTTGGCTCCCTGCTCTGTTCACTGTTTGTAAGCTTCTGTGGAAGAGCAGCGACTTTATAAGGGAGCATTGCACAAGTTCCTCTTCTCCGCCTCCTCCCCCTCTCTCCTAGCGCTTCCCCCACTGCCAAACAGCTTAGGTCTTTGGGGGGAGCGGGGATGCGGCTGCTCAGGAGAGGAGGTGGAGTGGGGGTGGGAAGAGGTGGGCCTGGAGTGGAGCGGGAACAGGAAGAGGAGGGCTTGGAGCATCCCCAGAGAACAGTTGCCGACTTTGCTGGGGGAAGCCGCCGCCGCGAAGGTGCTTCCTAGGGTCCTTGCCTTTAGCGGGCTGCCTCTGTGTGAGGTAAGACAGGGGCACTTCCAAACCACAGTACAGTACTGTATGGGATATAATACCTTTTGTCTGCCCCAAAATAATTTCCTTGGAACTTAACCCCCAGCATTTACATTAAATCTTTTGGGAAAATTGGATTCATTTAACATCACTTGTCTTCTCCAGACTAAACAAACCCAATTTTTTCAATCTTTCCTCACAGGTCATGTTTTCTATATCTTTAATCATTTTTGTTGCTCTCCTCTGAACTTTCTCCAATTTGTCCACATCTTTCCTGAAATGTATAGCCCAGAACTGGACACAATACTCCAGTTGAGGCCTAATCAGCACGGAGTAGAACGGACGAATTATTTCTCGTGTCTTACACCACTCCTGCTAATACATCCTAGAATGATGTTTGCTTTTTTTTGCAGCCGTGTTACACTCTTCACTGATATTTACCTTGTGATCCACTGTGACCCCAAGATCCCTTTCTACAGTACTCCTTTCCACACAGTCATTTCCCATTTTGTATGTGTGCACCTGATTGTTCCTTCCTAAGTGGAGTACTTTGCATTTATTCTCATTGAATTTCATCCTATTTTCTTCAGACCATTTCACCAGTTTGTCCATCATTTTGACTTATAAGCCTATTCTCCAAAACACTTGCAACCCTCTCCCAGCTTGGTATCGTCCACAAACTTTATAAGTGTACTTTCTATGCCATTATCTAACGGCAAGTCTACACCACAGCGCTACAGCTGCACTGATGCAGCTGCACCGCTGTAGCATGTCTTGTAGTCATGCTATGCCAACGGGAGAGTGCTCTCCAATCGGATTAATTACTCTGCTGCTGCGAGAGGCAGAAACTATGTTGGTGGGACAGCGTCTTACGTCGACATAGCGTTGGTGTGAACAGCGCTTAGATCGATGTAACTTACCTCACTTGGGGGATGTCTTTTTCACACGTCTGAATGACACCAGCCCTAAGTCATTGATGAAGATATTGACCAGAACTGATCTCTGTGGTACCACACTTAATATGCCTTTCCAGCTTGACTGTGAACCACTGATGATTACTCTCTGGGAATGGTTTTCCAACCAGTTATATACACATCTAATAGTAGCACCATCTAGTCTGTATTTCCCTAGTTTGTTTATGAGATGGTCACGAGACAGTATCAACCACCCCCCCCGTTTCACCCCCCCACCCCGTCCCTCCCCTCCACAAGGCTTGTTACAATGTCAAAGGCTATTAGGTTGGTTTGACATGATTTATTTTTGACAAATCCATGCTGACTGTTACTTATCACCTTCTATGTGTCTAGGTGTTTGATTGCTTAATTATTTGCTACAGTATTTTCTGGTTACTGAAGTTAAGCTGACTGGCCTGTAATTCCCTGGGCTGTCCTTATTTCCCTTTTTATATCTGGGCACTATATTTACCCCTTTCCAGTCTTCTGGAATCTCTCCTGTTGTCCGTAACTTTTTTAAGATAATCGCTAATGGCTCAGATACCTCCTCAGTCAGCTCCTTGAGTATCCTAGGATGCATTTAATCAAGCCCTAGTGACTTGAATACATTAATTTATTTAAGTAATTTTTAACTTGTTCTTTTCCTATTTTAGCCTCCGATTCTACCTCATTTTCACTGGAATTCACTATTTTAGCCAGCCAATCGCTATTAGACTTTTTTGGTGAAAACTGAAACAAAAAGGTCATTTAGAACTTCTGCCATTTCCACATTTTCTGTTATTGTTTTCTCCCGGTTATTAAGTAATGGACCTACCCTGTCCCCGGTCTTCCTCTTGCTCTTAATGTATTTGTCGAATGTGTTCTTGTTACCCTTTATGTATCTAGCTAGTTTAATCCTGTTTTGTGCCTTAGCCTTTCTAACTTTGTCCCTACATACTTGTGTTATTTGTCTGTCCCACCCGCCAAGTTCCCAATATCAGCACATCTCTCCCCCCGTGCTTACCAGGCTCCCCCCAACAAACAGCACCCCACTTCACAGGCCTCCCCTATCAGCACAGCCCCCCCGACTCCTCCCCCCACACAACAGCACAGCCCCCGCTCCCCCCTGGGCTCCCCTGGCCAGCCCCCTTCCATCACCTCCCGTAACCCAAGGGGACGCCGCCACCCCCACCCCTGTAAGACCTCACGCCAGGAGCCCCCAGGCACACAGCGGCAGGGGGACGCCTCGCAGCCCGCTCCGCCCCGGCTCGTACCCTCCGTGTTGGTGCTGGGGTCGAAGCGCTGGCCGCAGCCCCGGTTGTAGCAGAGCTGGGACATGGCGGGCAGAGCCGAAGCGCCGGTTACCGGAGCCGGCAACAGCAACGAGCCGGGAGACAGGAAGCGGCGGGGCAGGGACGAGGCCTCCGCCTCACTCTCGAGTCTCTCCGGAAAAAGCCGAGCGGAACCTTCAGAAACCTTCGCGAAATTTCGGGACAAAACGAGAAGCAGCGGGGTTTAGCGCACGCGTAGTAGCTCGGGGGCGGGGCGAAGGGCCGGCTCTAGGAGGGGAGCGCAGGCGCAGCAGGCGTATTGCACAGACGCTAAGGGGTGGGGCAGCGAAGAGTTGCCAGAGGGAGGGGCTGGGAAGGAGGACAAGTGCGCAGGCGCGATGTGTAGCCGCAGGGGGAATGGAACGACAGGGGATTCTAAAGGGAGGGGCTAGAACTGGCAGCAAGGAGGAGAACTCGCTAGCGGGGCGGGACTAAGAGCGCGTGCGCAGTGAGGAACGCTGGCTAGGGAGGGGAGGAGCGTTTCAAAGGGGGTAGGAAGGGAGACTGGCAGGTCGCAGCAGATTTGTCCGGGGCAGGAAGGAACGGGAGGACACGGGGGTAATTAAGGCAGTGAGGAGGCAGGGAATACAGCCCCCTCTCCTGCTAACAGCAGTGGGGAGCTCCTCACCCTGGCTTGGGAAAGTAGCCTTGCCCCCCTCCCCTTGGCCGGCTCCCCCTGGCAGGGAGTGGAGGAAGTAAAGGGGAGAAAGGGAGGAGCAGAGAGGGAGAAGGAAAGTAGAGTGGGGAATAGCTGAGGGCAGAGTCTATGAAAAAATCTCATACAAACTCGAAATAAGATCTAAGTGCTGTCGGCGGAGATGGCTCATATTAGAGACAGACTAACTCATAGATGGCTGAACCCAGAGGGCCAGATTCTGTAATAAAGTACAGCCCCGTTCATTAGCTTTTTCTCTAGGCTTTGAAAGATTATGTGACCTGGTGGCAACCAGCTGCTGTGTGCCAAAATTTAAAAAAATACTGCAAATCTACAAAGCAACATTTGTAGAACTTTTAAATCCATTCCAAGGGGTACCAGTTTTAAAGCAGAATACAAAGTCTATGTCACTTTTAACTGATTATATTTTAAGTTCAGGCACTTTAAATTCAAGGTCGCATCCCTGAATTGCTACAGCAGAACAAAAACATTTATTCTCAAGAGGATCATGAGCTACTTTTTCATGTAGTTTACAAGAAGCTTAGGACACCAGCTTTTAAGACACATGCAGTGATCACCTATATACACAAGCATAGAGTCATTATTTGCAAATGGGTTAATAGATAATGGTATTTCCCTTTCGTTGTTTCCAAACACACATCCTATGACTGGAGGGCATTTCAGTTACATTCATATCCAATTCCAGATTCCTCTAAACAATTCTAATTCCACTGTTTTCCATTTCTGGTTATCTTTTACAACCCACATTCTATGATTTATGGGCTCCATCACAGTCTGATTAATATTGAGGCCTAAAGCTGTAATGAGGGAGACTCATGCTATTTCTAACTCTGACATGAGCAAAACAAAGACTGATTTCTTCTGACTCCTTGCTATAGGTGAAATTTACCTTTTTCCACCAGGACTGTAACTCCCTTTCAGTTTGGGTAGAATTTTCCCAAATAATGCTTCTTATTTCTATTAGGAATACCCCACTTATGCCATCATGGATCATATATTTTACCACATCAATTATCTACACTTGCATTTGCATACATGCCATAGCCAGAGAAACATTAGCTTGAAGAGTGACGACAACCAGCAAAAGGTGACGGTGATCTTTTTCTTGGGACTGCTCTCACTCCTCTAGGATACATGCCACCTGGTATTGTAGAGAGCTTAATTGGTTGAATGATACCTTGGTAGGTGTAGTAGCTAAATCTTTTATATTAGCTCCCATTGCATTAATTTTATTTGCCAGCACTTCCTCATCAGTACTGTTAAGGACTGCTCCTAGTGCTCCCCATCAGTAGCATAGCTAGTGGGGTGCAGGGGAAGCAGCCGCTTCCCCTCAGCACGTTTTTAAAAAGCAGCGCGACTGCCGGCCGGCGCTGACCTCCTGCAGGCAAGGGGGGGCAGCACGGCCAGAGGAGCCATGGGGAGGGGGCAGCACGACTGGAGGAGTGAGTGGGGGTGCAGCAGGGCCGCCCGCAGCTGCAGCCGGGCCAATGGGCCGGGGCGGTGGGCACGGCTGGAGGAGGCAGAGCGAGGTGGGGCGCAGCGCGGCTGGCAGCCATGGCTGGAGGAGCAAGGCGGGGTGCAGCATGGCGGCCGGCAGCCAATGGGGTGGGCGGCACAGCCGGAGGAGCCAGCCAAGGGGGGGGGGGCGCGGAGCAGCCAGAGGAGCCAGCCAAGGGGGGGCGCCTTTTTTATGTTTGCTCCCCCTGATCTTGGATCCTGGCTATGCCACTGCTCCCCATAGGTCCCTCTTTACCCTCCTACATCCCCCACCCGAAATTTTCAGTTTGGGGATATCATGTAAATTCCACTCAGTTTTTCCAACCTTCAAATAAGGGTGGGACAAATTGCTCAAACCGGCGTTTTTATTACTGAGATATTTGTTAAGCTCAGGTCTAGAATGACCTTGTTGAGGGAGTGGGTGGGGTTGATTACCAACTGTTTTTTGATGTTGGTTCGGACAACATAGGTCCCAATTAAGTTGGTGACTGGGGACTCCATGACCCAAAAGTTGCAACTTTTTAGCCTATGGGGCCACTGTGGAAGCCATTTCCCCAAGTTAGGCCACATGTTAATAACATCCTTACAAGCACACCGCACTGTGAAAACAGGAGGTCCTCCTATGGAGGCCACTAGGTCTTGGTGGAAAAGGGCAAGAGGATCTGCCATTCCCCTCCAGGTGTGACTATTTGCAATTCTATCTTTTCCAAATTTGTCTGCTTGTCAATTAAAGTGGCGGCATATTCTAATTTAAATTGGACTGTTTTGTTTCCGGGAGCTGTTTTCTCAGGCAGGTCAGTCCACAGCCGAGCACACTTTGGCTTAATCTGGCTGCAATTGTATAACAGCCAGTCTGTTCCCACCCAGCGACAACCTAATCTCCTATTTGGGCTCCATGGATAAACCCCAATTACCGCACCACCAAATCTCCTCTCAGTCTAGGGGGTATACCAGTAAATGCATGAGGATGGTGATGTTTCTGCCCATCATTCTAGGATTCTGTAGCCGCCACAGTACATTACCATTCACAGTCCAAATTATAATGCACTTTGAGGTCCCACTCTGATGTTTATTGTATCCAGGCCTTTTAACCTTAAGTGGGGTAATATCCATTCAAAGGGCCTAAAAGAGTGAGCCTTTCTCCAAAAGTAAAGATCGCCAACAAGGTTATCAAGCCACAAAACAGACATAAACTGTTTCCCCCCACTTCCTCCTGGAGAGACGGGTTATAAAACAAGCATCTAACAGCAGTTACGTCTGTGTGGGCTGGGAGTTTAAGTATCAGCTCAACCCTCTGTTGGTCAGGGGGGTGCCCTTCTTGTCCTAGGGTTACGTCGAGGAAATTTTCCTGCTGGGAGCACAACTGGACCTTCTTTGGGATTACCTTAAACCCAGATCATAAATCTTTTGCAATACTTTGTCCAGTACCTCCAAATTCTCTTTTTCTGGTCTGAGTGCAGACCAGGATATCATGCACATAAGAAATCACAGGCATCCCCTCCCACATCTTGATTACGTGGGCATGGCAAATAATTGGGGCATTACTACGGGCCGTGGGAACCCTGGCAAAACACAGCTGTTTATCCTGAAAGGTGAAAGCAAATTTATAGTAGCTGTCCCGGTGTAAAGGGGTAGCAAAGAAAGTGTTGGTCAACTCTAATACCAAAAACACTAGGCCATTCCTACAGTGGAAGCCATCACCACCTGATACTCAACCACCAGGGGGCTGTTGGCAGGGTAACCAAGTTAAGGGGTTGAAAGTCTACCACGAGTCTCCAGGTCTTGCCATCACGCTTAAGGACCAGCCATAGAGCAGTGTTATTGGGGCTTGTCTGTGCCACTAAAGCTCCTTGACTTAAAAATCTGTCAATTGTTTCTTTTAGACTAGTTCCTGCTTCCTTGGGATACCTGTACTGTTTCTGATGTGGGGGATCAGGGCCTGTGACTAGCGTTGCTGCATCAATTTTAGGACATTCTATTTAATTGTTGGCCCACACCTCCCGGTGTATTTCTGCAATTGCTAAAACTTCTGGGGTCCAAGTGGGACATTCCAGTTCTTCAGATGCCTTAAGGCAGTGATGGACAACCTAGGCTAGTGATGTCAACGAGAAATGCCACATCCAAAATCCAGTTTTCATCTTCTAACTCTGGGTACACTTGAGATTTCTGAGTAAGAAACTGCTTGATTTCTGGTAGAAGTGCCAGGAAGCGGTCCAGTAATTTACCACGGTTTAACCAGCGCACTTCAGTGTGCATGATGAGGTTTCCATATTCTGTTTCAATTTGGTCCACAAGTTCCACAAACTGACAGTGATGCAGGGGGGCGAGCGCATATGAAGTTAACAATCTGTACCACTTTGTCCATTACAGCTTTCAGTCTGTCTTCCTTGTCAAGTTTAGCGCCGAGCACTTCTTGACGTATTATGCAATGCACACCAATTATGTCCGGTACACAAGCTTTCAACAAAGCCACAAAGCCATGGTGTGTTCCTGTCATGGAGGGGCACCCATCTGTTGTAACTGATACAATTTTTTCCAAAGGTAACTTGTGCTCTTTGAAAAAATCAGTAAATGCCTCAAAAAATACTGAGCCCCATGCTTGGCCATGTATTCCCAAGAGATCTAAAAATTCTTTTGTCACGTTCAGATCACTGTCAACACAACAAACCCATATGCAGAGCAGAGCAATGTCGTTAAAATCTTTGCATTCATCCAGCGCTACACTGATAGCCACACTTGAATGTACAGTTCTGAAAAACTGCTCTGACAGATCGGCAGCTATATCTTGCACTTTGCAACTCACAGTACGCCTGCTGAGTTGCAGACATTTAACACGTTTAATAATTTCCGCTTGGTTTTTAAACCCATCAAATAAAACATCTGAGGATTCGATGATGTGTTGTTTCACTAATTCACCATGTGAGAATGGC